TTGTCGTTATATCCGCAGTCGTTATTAGCCAAGTTGACTGTACTACGATAATAGGTCACTGCATGCATGCAGTGGTCGGGACTGTTGTACGCGTCTACGCGCGTACCGTTCGAATCGAAGGGTCTGTACGCGTATCATGTGACTTGAAACGATCGACAGTTCAAGTGGTGGAGCAAAAGGAGGAAAAACTGCCACTTGTCCTCCTTCCTTGTCGTTTTGTTTTATTCCGCGCTGGCTGGACTGTAGGTTTCCTCCGTCGCAGTACGAAGATAATGTTTGTGTTTGTCGTGTAGTTTGCCATGTCGCGGTGGAGGAAAAGGTGGAGAAACTGCCACTTGTCCTCCTCACCTTCCTTGTCGTTTTGTTTTATTTCGCGCTGGCTGGACTGTAGGTTTCCTCCGTCGCAGTACGAAGATAATGTTTGTGTTTGTCGTGTAGTTTGCCATGTCGCGACGTCTGCCAAAGAGGCGAGCGGCTGATCAGTTGCCATTGAGCTTGGCTTCGTTCCGCCATGTACGGCGTGAATGTGACGACACGGAGTCCCAGCCGGAGGGCAGTCAGAGAACTTCGCCTTCCGTCAGTTCGGAAAATGCTGCAGACACGGCCTTAGTTTCTGCCTGTGCTGCAGCTTTGTACTTTGTAAGGCTCTAAACGCATTACCCTTGTCTTATTGGCCAAGCAATGCAAGGGCTACCGTGACAATAAATATTTTGCAACTCCCGGTGTAGTGAACGAACCGAAAACAGTTTGAAGCGAATTTAATTCTGTGCACTCGAAAAATTTTGAACCCCCCCTGAAAAATTCCTGGATCCGCCCCTGTAACATAGCTGTTATCTAATCTAATTACAGCTGCTATCATCGCTTCCGCGATGGGCAGGTCTGAGGTCTGAGGTGTGTGTGTGTGTGTGTGTGTGTGTGTGTGTGTGTGTGTGTGTGTGTGTGTGTGTGTGTGTGTGTGTGTGTGTGTGTGTGCATGTGTGTGTGTGCATGTGTGCGTGTGTATGTGTGTGTGTGTGTGTGTGTGTGTGTGTGTGTGTGTGTGCGCGCGCATGTGTGCATGTGTGTGTTTATGTGTGTGTATGTGTGTGTCTGTGTGCCAATTGGATCATCTTTCCCAGATTCCCTCTATTCCCCGGGGAGACCCTCGTGACCAATTTTGGCAGTGAGCAAGTTCAAGTACAAGCATGTGTATGAGTGTGTGTGTGTGGTTGTGTGTGTGTGTGCGTGCACATGTGTGTGTGTGTGTGTGTGTGTGTGTGTATTTGTGTGTGTGTGTGTGTGTGTGTGTGTGTGTGTGTGTGTGTGTGTGTGTGTGCGTGTGCGTGCACGTGAGCGTGCCGTTGTGTGTATATGTATGTGAGGGCATGCATGCTGGTGCACACATGTTGAGGATACTGCGGCAGCTTGGTGAGCTGAGTTCGGCGCACGCACGGCTGCGGTTTGTTCCCACGACTCCTGCCCAGTCTGTCCATATAATGCTGCACTAGTGGACTGTAAGCGTGTGTCTTGAAAAGGCATTGTGAAAACACTGCTCCGGGAGCCTGCGCTGGCGGGTACTGAACAAGAAAACAGCCAGGACATAATGTGAACAGGTCAGATGCAGCACACGGCACAAAAAACCCAAGGTCATTGAGTTAGACCATGCCAAATACGATGACGTCATCTCACGCCATCGACAATATTACGTCATCATATTATGACGCACAGTCATTTGGAAGAACAGTCAATCTTGCGCATAACGGCACTTTATCGGGCACTTTATCTCTGATGAAGCTCTACAGAGCATAAACCGGTTAGATATAATGAATTTCAAAACTTAGAACTGTTTTTGAAGAACTAGAAAGTGTGTTGTGTCGGGGTTCCGAAATTCCAAAACCATGAGGGGAAATGTCGGTAATCACGATTTGTCGTTATTCGCGAGGTGGAAAGCATGCAGTCAAGTGGTCACAAGGTCCGCTGATTGGATCCTTATCCATGAGTTGCTGTTGTTGTTGTTATACGCTAGGTCGATATTCATGAGGGTCATTGTAGTCATGTGATTGTCGAGCCATGCAGTACTTTCATGGAACATTTCGTGTTCAACACCTGACAAGTCAACGCCCAGTGGGGAGACACAGATCTCCGTGGTTGATCATGCCTTGCCCTGTCATAATGTAGAATTGTTCATGCGTTTGCTCACTGCAAATGATCACTGGTCATCATTAACTGTGCAAGGACAGGGTCGGCCAGAATTTATTAAGCAATTCTCCAGGACGTGAACATGAATATAGCTCAGAACAAGCTACCGACTTACAGCCAGTGACTGTGGCGTTTTCTCCTGTGTTCCAGTACGTGTGCCCGGTTGCCTTGAGGAGCCCCGCGTCGAACGCCTAGCTGCAGGACGCCTCCGAGGCCCGGTCTGCACCCGTGCGAGGGAAGGGACAGACTTGTGTTTGGCTGCTTGTGTTGCTTTTCCCCAGCCTTCATTCAACATGTTCTTCCGGCCTGTGACGGTCAAAACAGGGACCGAGAGATTGATGTCAGAAATTGTCTCCGTCGCTTCGTCTGTATCACCAGCGATAAGAATCTCCGGTACTGCATGGTCTTGTGCTTCCGGATCATCACTGTCCAGGAATTCCTCATGGCTAGATCGTGAGACAGGCAAGCCTTTACTGGAGAGGAACATTCTCCTAGGGCGTTGTTGTTCATCGCCTGTTTCATCTAGGTACACGTCGCTTTCTTCTGCCTGCTTGTAATGCACCGGCTTCAGAGTATGCGGCGGCTCTGTCATGCTGCGTTTGTGATGCGACGTCTTTCGTGATGCCTTTGCACCACCGACGGATGCGTCACTTTGTTCGCACTCGTTGCTTCGCCGTAATTCACGGTTTCGCCGACGGAAGCTGTCCATGGCTGGCAAACTGGAGATCAGGTCTCGCTTCCTTGCCCGTAGTTGTTCAGCCTTGCCCTTGTCTGGCATTACTTTGCTATGACCTAACAGCTGCCCACTGGGATGAGTACCATCGACTAGATATTCCAATACCTGTTGAATCTCTGAATTACATGAAAACACACATACACACGCATGCATACACACACACACACACAAAATAAACACACACAAATACATACACACACGCATGCATACACACACAAATACATACACACACGCACACGCGCACACACACACACACACACGCACACACACACACACACAACATGTTACTTCCTGCAATGGACTTCGCCTTAGCTAGAAACTGCCCGGTTCAAAGTAAGGGAGTAGGTTGAAATCGGTTTCAACCCTGTCACGAGTGTATCTACTTGGTCCGCGTCAGCAATATTGTCGCTTATCTTTCGACAATTTGAACTTAGACTTTGGACATGAACGCGTGCACTTGAAGTAATAAAACTTGGTACGATGGACGGCAAGGTTTAGAATGACAACTAGCTGCGAGGAATTTATTGTCCAAGGAAGGGTTCCTACTTTTTTCGGTCCTCCTCGTCGCTGCTCTCGTCGCTGGCGACAAATATTTTTGCTCGGGATCGACTCTCTTGCTTTTGCAAGCTCATCTCTCTTCCTCTCCGCTGCCTGGCTATTTTCTAAAGAGAAGTCGATCGTGACGGTCGCCTTCTCTATAGGACTTCGCGTGGGCAGCACGACAGCCTGTATGGTTCAAATCAGACGCCGTTCTTTGCAAGATTTTATTTTGAACGACGACGACGCGTACAGTACTTGCAAATCTCCACGATGCGCTGGATACTCCGAGCGTTGAGCTGGAGGTAAGGGAGCTGCGATCTCAGCTTGATGAGCGATCCCTGAGGTGAGCGATCTCGGCCGTTCAGCAAAATGGAGCTGATTCCGAGTAGCCGATTACTTTCTTGTGGCTTGCGCTGCTCTTGCCTGCACAGCGTAAAAAGATAATCTATTTTGATGCGGCGCTGTATCAATCAGAATCGCCCACCTGTCGCTCTTGAAATCCAATTGAACTCTAGCTAGACCTTTCAGGTACTAGCAAACTAACTTGCTAACCGAAATTGGGATGAAATGGGCTGCCAAGTAAGCATTGGCGACATATAAACAAAGCTGAAAGATAAGCGACAATATCGCTGACGCGGACCAAGTAGCTATTCTTTCACCCATTAACGCCATAGTCCTTCCCCCTGTCTGTCGCCATGTTTAGATGGTACGTGACTACCTCGCACTACCCCGTACTACGCATGACACCATGCTCTACTGGGCATGGCCTCTCTGACTCATCACTATAATCTACACTGGCATGTCTGATAACTAAAGCAATTTCGCATGTCAGTTCTTGGCACAACCCTACCAAGCTATGCATCTAACAGGGCTTGCTTCCAACAGCTTCAGCCCCCTCAATGAATGGACCCACCACGAGTAGAGACCTCCCCCCCCCCCCCCTGGATAGACGCCCCGCTTTCACAGGTAGAGCCCCCCCCCCCCCCCATCTGGATAGACACCCTACTTTCACAGGCAGAGCCCCCCCCCCCCCCCTCTGTCTGGATAGACACCCCACTTTCACAGGTAGAGCCCCCCCCCCCCTGCCCTGTCTGGAAAGATGCCCCACTTTCACAGGTAGAGCCACCCCCCTCCCCTCCCCTTCTGAATAGACGCCCAGCTTTCACAGGTAGAGCCCCCCCCCCCCCCCCCCTTGGATAGACGTGCAATCACGTGGGCAGCCTCCTACCCCTCTCTAATGGATACTATCATGGGAAGACTCCCTCCCCCCTCCCCTCTTGAACAGGCAGACCTCGTTCGGAGTTCTGATTATAACGGGTTGTATTACACGTACTGCAAAATCTGTGAATAACGACCACCCCTTGGGGCCAGAGAAAGCAGTCTTTAGTGCTAGGTGGTCCTTAGTTAGAGGTTTGCACTGCACAACCATAATTATCTGAATGTAAGACCGTCCGTGCCTGGTGAAGTGATCTGTCGTACCAGGCTGGTAGCTAGTCACGGAGGTCTTTAGTTACAGGTTTTACTGTGCAGAGAACACAGAAACACCGACATTCCACAGCGAGGACCCGTTCAATGTACCTTCTGCAGCTGTCAGGCGATTCTTATCTTCCTCTTCCACCCTGTCCTTATCAGAAACAAACTTCTGCATGCTCGTCGAGTCTAGGCTGTCGAATGGCCAGGAGCGCCAGTTGTACGGGATCGGCGTCACACCTGCAAAGATGAAACATGTCAGATACAGCTGTGTAAGTCAGGGGCGGCGGAAGGTAATTTTAGTGTGGTACGGTCAGCCATCTGAAGTACAATTTACTCCTGGGGGAGGGGTGGTGATTTAGAGCCCAAATCAGTGCAGTTTATCGATTTACTGGGTACTTGGGGCAAGTAATGGTACAGTGAATACCATAGTGACCGCACCGTGTCCGACGCCCCTGAAGTTGAATTCAAAATGGCCATGTTTATATGTAAACTTTCTGAGCTTCCCTTGATATATCCATATGTTTTGATTACAAAGTATTAAGTACACATACTTTGAGGAAAAGGAGTGACTTTGTGCATGCAAACCTGACAGTAGTTGCCAACAATTAAAGTCGACTAGCAATCGTTTCAGCTCCATACTAATAGCATGATATGGGCTGGCGTCACTAGGAGAGGTGACTGTGTCTTGGCTTAGCTTTCATACAACATTGCTGGAAGAGTTACCTGAGACCCAGGTGAAGAGAACGCTGGAGATCAGGTCTTTGAAGTCAGTGTTGAAGTAACTAGCGGCGGATGGGAAGGCATGCGTGTACGCACTGTACACGGCTTGAGCCAGGTAGATAGGTAAGCGCTGCATGGGAGCACAACAACGGCAACGACGACGACAACAGATCTCTTATTAGAGAGTTCACGCTTCAAGTTTTTTCTTCAATTTCCAACATGAAAAAATGACGCTCCTCACATTGTAACATGAGATTTCAGCACGACAGAGGGCCACCTCACCATGAAAGAAGCGATTCAACTCACATTTTTTCCTCACGTTCGAAATATTTAAAAAAAAACCTGAAGCGTAAACTCTCTATTGACTACTGGCCATCGTGAGAATAAAGATGTGAAACAGCATTGTGGCAATTGAATGGTTTATACCAGGCCCGCCAAAACTGGTCACGTCATCGCCGGACCAACGTTTGGCCACCAAAGTGTTTTCACTGCTGCAGACGTCTTGTGTAGCCACCACCTCATACACAAAGTATGACAGGCTGCGTTGTGGCCAGACCAATCACAGACTGCTTCCACCGGTTACGCATGCACCACGCAGGTTTGACCTATGCACTATCTTCGCCATTATTGACTAGATTATGGAAAGATAGAACGAGTTTTTTGCACATATACAGTCTTTTTCCGGAGTACAACCCGCACCTTGAACATTAGTAATTCACCCACAAAAAGTCGGTGCGGCCTTCGCCACGATGGTCAAATTAACGGTGACAAATGGGGTATTTTGTGACAAATCAGGATGCGGCTGTTACTCCCGTGTGGCTTATTCTCCGGTGAAATACGGTAGCCACATGTTCAATACTCCTACAGCCATGACACAACCAAGTCCTTTTCTGCCGTTACTCAGAGGTTTGTGTTAAGAAACACTGATCAGACAGCATGTAGCTACATATAAGTGGTTGATGAAAGAACATCCGGCACCGGTGACTTACATCATGCAGCGCATCGGAGAAGCGCAGATAATCACTAGCGCGTAGCAGCTCCATGTAGCAGTCTGATACGCGGGAGAAGATTAAGCCTAGCGTCACCCGATCGCGGCCATTCTGCAGACCAAGGGGGAGAAGCAACATAAACAATTGTTTGACAAACCCAGCATGCAAGTACATAACTATTACAACATCACCTTTGTCAGAGGTGGTTTAAATCTACAACTGATTTTTTTTCTACAAGATCACGGAACCCACAACCCCTTACGCCACAATTCATTGCTTCTCTCCACAGCACAAGACTGGTAGGTCAGGCAGCGTTCAGAGCTCTTACCGACTAACTTATAGAAATTTGGCCTTGTTATAAATCTCATCCTCGTCCGTGGACTCATGATTACTTCTTAGATCCAGTTGGAAAACTCTCACAGATGCATGCGCCCATACACGCATACATAGCAACAAATCGTTTACGAAACACGGGCATACATTCCAAACAAACATGTATCAAATGCTACTGGTCCCCACATATTCTATTAGGCCTACTCCCTAACAACTAGGTGACTGCAATGAGACCACCCTACAAGCCAATGTCCCTCCAAGAGCCAATGGTGACATGATCAAATCCACCCAGGAGTCGATGGTCATACGAAAAAAAAACCCTGATACAAACCAACCATTTGTTCCCTACCTTGAAGTGTTGTAGAAATATCCACCAGAAGTAGTCGAGAAACATTGTGACGCTCGTATCCGAGTAAAAGAATACTTCCCATTCGGACCTGAAGCGGGGCTGAAAATTCATGAAGGATATAGCACACAACATTCCACATTGATTGAAATTTTTATAACAAGATTTTTCTATTGCGAGCTGCAAGTTCAAAAAATATATTTTATAAATTGCTTAGGAATGGACTCAGATGGAGAGCCAAGGTTTAATTTAATAATGAGCCAGGGACTATAGAAACCGCCCTACGACGTTTGATATCAAAATCAAGTTATGACGTTTCAAAGTCACGTGACTCAAAGTTACGCGAAGCGCAGAACTCGTCACTTTTGTTTTGACAAGACTCAAGAGCTGTCCTCTTGTTAGGTGTTCGGTGAAGAATTCCGAGCTCGAGCGATTGTCGAGTAACTCAAGAGGCTCCACTTACTGTGATTAATTATGGCTGCAACATCTAGTACACGACGCAGCTCGATTCTGTGTGGAGTCGACTAGTGCCTGATGCGAAGGCGCTTTAATCGGACGACGAGAACTTTACGGATTCAGCGCTGGCACCCGCGAGTCGTCCGCGAGCGATTCCGACACCGATGCTGACAGCGACGGCGATGATATGCCACCTAAGAAGAAGACGTATGGAGTCACAGCAAGCTCGAGTGTTGCTAGTGTTGGGTCGAAAACGCCAAGCCCCGACAGCTCGGAAATTTCAAACGCGGAGAGTGACACCGACTACTAGCGACTACTCGGAATCGGATGACGAACCAGATGCCACCGCACCTGAGCCACCGAGGACGGAGCAGGTGAAGCGTGGTCTCCTGTCTTCAGACATACGCGATGGGATTGAGAGAGGCTGTGGATGCAAGTCGAAGAATCATTGGAAAGTCATCCCAGAGCAGCAGCTCGAGGACTACATATTTGAAGTCCCTAAACTGCGAGAGTCGAAAAAGCGCTTCAAGCAGTTTGTTCTGGGCGCACTTACTGGAAGCATGCGAAAGTCGATGACTGGTGGTGGTGATCGACCTTTCTATTTCCGCTATCATGTACGTGGTTACGAGTTGTGCAAAGACGTGTTCATGGCAGTTCATGCTGTTGGAAGTCATGTAATGAAGCGCCTTAAAAAAAAGGCAAACAAAAGAGTCGTTCAACTGGCACACCATGACTTGACTGGGAGAACACCAGAGCACTTGGCCATTTCAGCAGACATAGAGCAGGATGTAGTGCAGTTTTTTTTCATATGCTACATGTACGGTCTTCGTCAGCCTGCAGCGGAGCGAGGTCGTGCTGAGGACCCTCCGGTCTACTTACCAGCATCCAAGAACAAGAAGTCTGCATACAACATCTATACCAAGACCTTCACACAGTATTCGCCTGTTCATTACAGGTCATTTTGCCACATTTGGAGGAGACAGGCAGCACACATCAAAGTGATGAAGCCAAGGACAGACGTATGCGCACTGTGTGACAAGCTGCGGGACAAAATTCGTGTCGCCCGTACAGAGGAAGAGACGGAATGTGTTCAGGCCCTGCGTTCGCACATATCACTAGATTTGGTGGACGGCGCGCAGGCGTCACTGGATGAAGCTGAGGGCATAGTTCACTATACATTTGAACTGCCTAACTAGCAAGACTGAAGATAATACAAAGAACATTACAAACTGTGTACATAAATTTGCTCTATATCGCTCAATTGACATGCCATTATTAAATAGGTGGTTAGGCACATTTTTACCATCGCAGATCAACTTGAAATTTTGTTTGAGCACATTACCATACCATACCAACGTTTTGAGAGAAAAAAATTTTCGCCAAAAAGTGCCATAGGGTTGTTTCTGTAGTCCCTGGCTCCTATACAAAAGAGAAAGACCATGGAACTACAAGTTACGCTATACTGTCCATTAACAGTAACTGGTGGTGTTAGTGGACAGTACAGCGTAACTTGTAGCTCTTTGGTCTTTCTCTTTTCTATAATTTTTTTAAGGTTTAAATCTGGCTTTGGAAAATTTATTTTTCATTGCTAACGTTATCAGGTTCGGCCTCATTTTCTCTGTGCTGCGCTGATGGTTCCACAGAGGACGAAACAGTTCTGTCCGCAGATCGAGTATATACATAATTATTATAACCGTTTAGTGTTCGAAAGCCGATCTTGGCCTAGCTCTGCTCAGAGTGATTTCTCAGATCTATCAATGTCCTGTACATATACAACGTAACCGAAACACCGTGTAGTTGAACCTGATGGAGAGCAATTGGACAGGTAATACTTGGTAGGTAGTACAATGGCCTCTATCTATTCTCCAGTGCCTTCTGAGCTTCACCGGCTAGTTTCTCTTTCTTCAACACACATCTGTCGAATATCATAATATGCTCTTAACGACCATTGATTGAATTGATTTTCTACGTGCACAATAACAGGCATGCAGTGACTTGGTTGGCATCTTTTGAAATTAAAACCCTACCATTCGAGATGCTTACCTTTTTCCGCAGATCCTTTTGACACGCTGTTATCCGGCGTAAATGCTGCAAAACATCGATGTTCTGAGGCAGTTGCGAGGGTTCCGCCGGGTCGAAACCAGGGTACACTTCCAGCTGGAAGTGGGTAGAGAACAGACATATATTGCAGCAGCAGATCAGATTTTTTAACCCAGCACCCACCCTAATCCAGCTGAATGTCCCTGGCACAAATGGTGCCGGTTTATAAAGGGACTCCTTTACAAAAAAAAAGATCTTTCAGTTACCCCACTGTGGAAAAGGTTGTTACTGTGATTCTGCTGTTCACAGTTATTAAAATAATGTGGATTGATACGGGTGAAGAATGATTAACAGCTCTAGCACATATGCACGGAGGTAGGCATAGAGCTTGTAAACGAGAAGGCACGCTGTTCCATGAAGAATATTTAAGAACATTTAAGCGAAATCGTACCTCCAGGAGTGCCTCGCTGGGTTTGGCTTGGGGCCGCTTCTGCCACGGCTTTGGTGCGTCTGCTCCATCGCGGTCCGATGCGGCCACTTCTTGAAGTGTACCTCTCGGTGATGCTAGGCTACCAGTGCTCGAATCCATAGCAAGCCGGGAGTCTGTCAGGACGTTTGCTGAGGATGTAGTTGATATGCTGACAGCACTAGGCTCCTCATTGTTTGAAATCTGCAAGGCTGATTGGGAAAGGCGGGTGTCGACTGCATGAAAGAAAGGCACAGTTCACAAGATGCGAGAGACTATTTAACTCAAAAATTGACAGGCCGATAACGAGGCACCTCTGTAGAAGATCACAAAACAGAACCATATTCTTTAGGGCACCGTCTCTGTCATGCCAGTCATTTCACACCACGGGATATAGGGATCTTGGATATGCACGGCTTGAGAGTCAATTTCACACGCACACAGATAAAACAGCACTGAAGTCGAATACGGTACTGCAGGGGACGGAAAAATGTAGTGCCGAAGAACAAACAGGCCAGAGTTTCACTAAGCACAGCATACCAATGTATACACGGTGACTCCAATGCGCATAGACTGTTGGACGTGAAAATAATGGCCTAGGCTACGAGGCTGACGTACTAGGGCCATGCAGCGAACCGAGCGGATTTCAACAGTCCATCACAGCCGTAATAACATCACAGTACAAGAACAATCGTACCTTCTGTATGAGCCAGGTTAGAACTGCCTTCGTTGCTGCTTTTCCGTCCACCGCTGGTCTTTGCCAAACGCGCACTCTCACCGTACACCAGTCGAGGTGAGAGATACATGGGAAGACCGTGACTATCCTGACACATACCGCTCTTGTTCCACGCGCACGGCTTCGGGTGAGGCGGCGGATGCTTTCGACGCTTATCGATGGCGCTCTGCAGAAGAAGAGGTGCGAATAGAACCAAATGCACGCACCGGTTATCGTGCCATATGGAATTATTTCTGAAGATGGGCCTAGCACAAAAATTTGGATTTATTTAGTAATTGATTTTTTTTTTGGAAGAATCTGAAGCCGAGAGACCGTTTTTGGGTAGTAGTGTATAACTGTGTAAAACACGGACTGTGGCTACAGTAGAGTCTGCACACCCTGAGGAATACAGAAAGGCACACTATAAAATCTAACACATCAGGAGAGAGCTTGTGCACTCCTCAGTTTCAAAAAGGCAGGGGGGGGGGGTACAAACTGGTACTTGTGAACCTAACTTTGTCCGAATATCTCTCTTGCATTCTCTTACCCGACACCCGGCCCAGGGGGTGGGGGGGGGGGGTACACGGGGCACTACCACAGCAACACATCTATAAAACTAGCCTCCAATAACCTTTTCAAATTGATTCAAAAAATAGCAAGACAAAAATTATTGTTGTGCCTTGGACCACACCTGCCGCACCAGTTTCGGTTCATGCTCTTGCTGCAACCCTGTGGTCTCTTTTCAAGCTATTACCCTAGGTAAACCTGTCAGAGAGATCACTCGGAACAGAAGACCAACCAGGTCGAAGTTGTACGCTTTCAAGCTAAACTGCCCCTGGTAAGGGGCACTATGATCTGCCAATACGCAATGGACCACGGTGAGTATTTTCAAGCTAAACTGCCCCTGGTAAGGGGCACTATGATCTGCCAATACGCAATGGACCACGGTGAGTATTTTCTCGCGTCAGTTTCCCGACTTAATGAAGGGTGTTTTTGTATGAGGCACTGACAATGCATACGCTTTTTACAGCGAAACCTCGTTAAGAAAATACTGAGAAAGCATACTTCTGCTTTAAAAGAACTAGTGCTCACATCTTTATTGGATAGATCACTGCATAATCACTGAGTTTAACTAACGGATCTAAAGAGCTCCCCGTATTCGGAACGAATACCAAAGGTCTTGGTACTCATCCCAAAGAGGGTGGACTTATTAAGCTAAAGGTGAGTATTTTCCTCGCTTCAGTTTCACCACTTACGATTGCTTTTTGATCATCGTTTAGACGAGGCAGTGACGATGCAGCTCTGCTGAAGGCTGCTGGATTTGTATATCTGCTAGCAGCTTCCTCACGATCTAGAGCTTCTCGCATGCGCTTAGGTATTTCATCGATGGAACCGATGGTATGCGCTGGAGGTACTGGGTCAAGGAGAACGCCAATGAATGCTTCAAGGTTACACATGATGGCGCCCAGGCCAAAGGGATGCAAGGTTATGCCTCTACAGTAAACCTT